GTGTGTGTGTGTGCCTGTCTCTTTTTATTTTTGTGTGTCTGCGCTTGCGTGCACGTGCATGACGTAAGTCCACATTAGCTGGAAAGAGAGATAGGCCCAAGGTTTACCTCGTACCCCAACAACCATCGTTGTACTCATATCTTGTCCAGCTCACAATAATAATTTATACGTGTACTCCCGAACGAGGTCCACGTAGCAATGTTATCTCAAAGAACGTCTGTATGCTACAATTAACCTGTTCACTGCTGGGTAGACGTATGTTCCTGCTTGTATTCTCCACTTATTTTGTTTCATCTGGTTGACAAAAGTTTTAGTTGTTTTAGTTACAGCTTGTGATTTTGCTTATTCTGAAACAATTCTCTGTGTTTAAATATTCCTTGAATTAACATTTAATCTTGTGGGTACAGATGTTGATAGACATTTTTCAGCAGTGAAGGGGTAAAGGAGGAGCAATTTCTTTTTGTCAAGGGAGTGGTCGGACACTTTTGTTGTGGGTTTCCTATTCTTCGGAAGAACCTCTTTGACGTCATAAAGCCAAGTTTTTTATGGTGTACCCTTGTCTTTGTGCCCTAAATCTCTTGCTTTGAATGCTCGCGGAGCTGGTTCATTGGGGGACATTCTCATCAGATGACCGAAAGACGAACGAGCTGAGTTGTTCATAAAAACAACAACAAATATTTCTCATATACTGTCTTCAAGAACAGGCAGAAAAATACACAAATTATAACACAATTAGGCTCTCAAGACGCACCTAGTCAAAGCAGCCTTCGCCTGAGTTTGGACATCGTCCGGACTATGTGCAAACAAACCTGCTGGAACAGCCACCGGTAAAAGACAGTCTGATAATACAAAACGGCCACTTTCCATTTCCTCACTTGCTTATTTTTTTTACATTGTAATGAAACTGAAAGGTGCCCACCTGTCTAATACTACCACTTTTCTCATACACAATGGGCATCTTAGATACTATTTCAAATATAGTTATATGAACTGCTGTCCGTTCAGATTGATGTTCAGTATTCAAAAGGCTCTGCACCAGAACATAACTATTCAATTACCTTTGTTTCAATACACATGCAAGGATTTTCAGAGTGTTGTCTTCGCAGCTTGTCAACCGACCTGACAGCTCAGTCAGCATGAGTATAAACAGCTTATATTATTTACTCGGATCGGACACACTTTCAGGAAGTCAAGCAGCTGCACATTAAGGAAAGTGTTAGATTGGAACCCACAGGGTAAAAGATGATGTACAGAAATGTGGAAAGACATGGAGTGACATCAAGCGACTAGCCCAGGATAGGGAAAGATGGAAAGTGTTTGTTCGTGGCCTATATCCTGATCCAGGGTGAAAAAGGCAATGATAATGATGATATTATTTATTCAGATATTGCCAGTGTTGCTATTGCTAATGCTGCAGCTCTAGCTGTTGGGATTATTTTTGTCGTCATAGTTGTTGTTGTTGTTGTTGTTGTTGTTACTGTTGTTGTTGTTGTTGTTGTTGCTGTTGTTGTTGTTGTTGTTGCATCTGTTTTATTGGTACTTTCATTTGCTAATGGTGCGCCACATGGAATAATAATATGATAATCATTATTATTTCTTTACTGCTTGAGTTGAAATGTATGGGCATGACCACACATTCCAACACAACAAAACAGAAATGTCATACCACAACTTTTCCCTGCTCAGTTCTATCTATCTATCTATCTATCTATCTATCTATCTATCTATCTATCTATCTATCTATCTATCTATCTATCTATCTATCTATCTATCAAAAGCTGGAAAAACAACGATAATTGCAGCGTAAAGGAAACTATCTGCGCTTATAAAAATGATATCTGACTTTGTCCTCTGCTATCTTTATGCACGTCTTTCTTTATGTGTGTCAGCCACGAATTATTCTTGTTGTTATAAAAATATAGTTATTTTCGCCTTAATCTCCGACAGTAACACTGAAAGAGCAAAGAAAAAAGCTAAATACAATAAAACAAAACAAAACTGGGATTAAACAAAACTGACGACGTGGCTTGGGG